TGCTCAAAGCATGCTGACAGCATGTGTCCCTCTTTATACAGCAGCTATACAACTGCTGCCTCCGGCTCTGCCACTTCCCACGAGCCTGAAAACTGGCAGAGGTGGCAATGATACCCAAGGTGGGTAAGAGAGATAGAAGCTCAGTCCGCTCCTGGAGGCCCATTGCCCTGCTTTCAGTAATCTCCAAAGGGCTGGAACGCATCATTGCAAGGCGACTGGCGTACACGGCACTCATTCACGGCATGGTCAGCCCACAGCATGGGGGGGCGCTGCCCAGACGATCTGCAATGGACCTGGTAGCTGCTTTCACTCATGAGGTGGAGGCAGCCTTCGCACAAAACAAAGAAGTGTCCATGGTCACAATGGATGTGCAGGGTGCCTTTGATGCTGTGCTGCGCAGGCGGCTGCTTCAGCGGATGGCGCAGCAGGGGTGGCCACGCGAGCTGCTGCAGCTCATTGACAGTTTCCTCGCTGAACGCAGAGCTCAGGTCCGGCTGGAGGGGACCACCACAGCAGCACATCAGATGCAATGTGGCACGCCACAGGGGTCTCCTTTGTCACCAATACTGTTCCTTCTGTACCTGGCAGAGCTGCTGTGGCAAAACTCGGAGTTGCGCTTTGGCTATGCGGATGATCTGAACATCTGGCGGGCGACCCACTCACTTGACAACAATGCCACCCTTCTCAGACAGGATATACAGAGTATTCTGAGGTGGGGGGAGATAAACAAGGTGGCCTTCGCACCAGAGAAACTTGAGATGATCCATCTTACAAGAAAGCGACACAATGAGGCACCAGCAGTAGTTGTGTCTGAGGACCTCACTGTTCACCCTGTTACTGCCCCAGCTGGACAGGAGCCAGCACTTCGCTGGCTGGGTGTACACTTCGACAGAAGGCTCACCTGGAGACCACATGTCTCCACCCGGGCAAAGAAGGCAAGGGCCGTAGCCCAGCACATCCGGAGTCTGGGAAAGACCAGAGACGGGCCCCCAGCAGACGCTCTGCGGAAGGCGGTCACCACCTGCGTGGTTCCCTCATTGCTCTATGGCACAGAGGCCTGGTACGGCGGCCGCACGCAGCCAGCAAGGCACACGGGCAGGAGTGGGGAGGTTAGCTCCCGCCTGGGATGGCATGTGGGGACAGTTGAGAAGGTGCTTACTATGGCAGCCAGAGGGGTCCTCCCAGTTTTCCGTACAACGCCCATCGCTACCCTATACCGGGATGCTGGGCTCCCATCAGCAATGGTAGCTCTGGAGGAGGCCAAAATTCGATTCGCCACAAGGCTTCAGGTGGTGGATGAGAAGCACCCACTGGCTTCACGGATAGCACCTCCAATGATCACACGAGGAAGAGGGGCTGGAACCCGGCAGCGCTCAAAGACCAAGATCCAGCGGTTGGGGGCGCTGCTACCTGCAGTCAATAGACCCACACTTGCCATCCCACACTACTCAGAGGGATGCGGGACAGACCCCACAGAGGGTGTAGACAAAAAGAATGCTGCTCAGGCATTCAAGGAATGGTGGAGAAGTCAACCCTCAACAGATCTATATGTTTTCTCAGATGGATCAGAACGGAGCCTTGACAACAGCAGGCAGGTGGGCTATGGCTTCATAGTCTATCAGGGAAATAAACAGCTGGCCAGCTTCTCAGCTGCGCTGAGCCCTATGTCACATGTCTTCGACGCTGAGGCAGTTGGTGCCTGCCGGGCATTGGAGTGCGCCGTGAAGCTCCTACCTTGTGTCACAGAGGACAGCAGCAACCCTCAGATCTGGCTCTGCCTCGACAACACCTCAGTCATCTGGGGCATACGGGGCAGTGCAGCAGCCTCCTCAAACTGGGCCTACAACCGCTGCCATGAGCTCCTCAGACAGCACAATGTCGGCCTGAAGTGGGCTCCTGGGCATATGGGGATAGAGGGCAATGAGGAAGCAGACCGCTTGGCTAAGCGGGCAGTCTCATCCACTGCAGCCCCAGCCTATGGTCTCGAGGCCACACCCACAGTCAGTGGGGTCCGCACAGTGGCCAAGCAGCTCAGCCAAGAGGCAAGGCGAAAGTGGTGGAGTGGAGCCTGTGGCAAGCTCTCTGACTGGTACCGGGGCTGGAGTTCAGCAGGCCGACTGTGGAATACCAAGTGAAGGCCCCTCCGGAGCTCACCATGCCACGGCATGCCCTTCACCGCTGGCTCGCACTCCGCTCCTCTCATGGGGACTTCTCCTGGTACCACAGGCGTTTCCAGCATGCAGATGCGAAGACTCACCTGTGTCTGTGGACACAATCACAGCCCCACAACATTTGGTGCTCTGTCGGCACTCACAGAGGCCACTTCTTTCACTGGCCCAAGAGGGCCAGGCAGCACGGCCAACATAACCGGGTCGAACAGCCTGTTGACCTAATCTAGGGTCTCTGACCCCATACAGACTTTTGTAAGACTGGCTAGGAACTGGCA